CAACCCCAGACATCCAGTTCACTAAAGGCAAACCCAAGAGGCAACGAAGTAGAACAATCCAATAGCTGCTCATCTGACCTCCCTGAAGTAGTAACAACAAAGCAGATGAATAAAGCACTAGAAAAATATCAAATCAGAATAACTGTCCACAATGAAAATCATGCTTAGTGACTCTAGAGCAAATACAGATTTTAAAAAATAAAGGAGGTTAAGAAAATTATGGAGCTAAGCATGCTTGGCATAGAAAAGAAATGGAATCCATAAGGCAGACTCAAGCAGATAGTCAGGAGAATAAACATTTCACTGAAAGTATCCAAAGAAAGATAAGCCAATGGGAGGACAGAATCTCAGATATAGAAGATATGCTTCAGGTTAGTGATTACAAAAATAAATATTCTGTAAAAATATCAAGGGACTATGAGAAATCAATCCAGCAGCTGCTAGATGAAGCAAAAAACAAACAAAATAGCAAGTGCAAATGATAATGACATGTGAGACACACTGAAAGCAGTCCTATGAGGGACTGCAGAGAGAGAGGGGGGAGGGGGGGAGAGAGAGAGAGAGGACGAGAGAGAGAGAGAGAGGAAGAGAGAGAGAGAGAGGAAGAGAGAGAGAGAGATCAGGAAAACATAGCAAGTGCAAAAACAACAAACAAGTCACTAAGCATGATTTTCATTGTGGACAGTTATTCTGATTTGATATTTTTCTAGTGCTTTATTCAGGTTAGTGATTACAAAAATAAATATTCTGTAAAAATATCAAGGGACCATGAGAAATCAATCCAGCAGCTGCTAGAGGAAGCAAAAAACAACAACTTAAGATTGATCAGAGTCTATAAAAAACCAGGATATAGCACGAATAATAGTTAAAATACTATTCATTGAGGTCATGGAAGAAAACTTTTCTGGCAGGGAAAAAGAATTTGACATACAGATAAGTGAGACATAGAGAATCCAAGTAGCCATTTAAAAAAACTATAGCCAGGTTTATCATAGTAAAGATTCCAGAAATTCAATGCAAGAATAGAATCTTAGGAAAGCTGTTAGAAAAAAAAAAAAAAAAAAAAGGAAAACACATCAGAATCACAGCTGACGTCTCAGCACAAACCCTCAGGTCAAGGAGGGCTTGGAGTGAAATATTTTAAGTTCTAAAGGAAGAAACCTTTAACCCAGATTGAGGAAACCCACAAAACTGTCTTTCAAAACTGATGGAGAAATAAAATGCCCCTGTGGCATATAACATTGGAGAAATTTTGTGACCACCAAACCAGTGCTCCAAAATATTTTGAAGGACTTTCTAGAAAGAAATAACAAGGACTACACCTCAAGGAATCCCAAAAGAAGGAATCCACCAGGTAAGGCAAGCAATTAGACAGAAGAAGGAGGAAGGAGGGGAAGCCAACAACAGAAAATAGTATGACAAGGATAAGTCAATACATGTCAATTATAGCCATCAATGTTAATGGTCTACACTTATGAGTTGAAGGACACAGAGTGGAAGAATGGATCAAGAAGCAAGATCTGACAATATGCTGCATACAAGAAATACATGTAAATCAAAAATAATTCCATAGACTGAGAGTCAAAGGATAGAAAACAATAGTCTCTGCAACAGGAACTCAAAAAAAGCAGGAGTAGCTATTCTATTTGCTGATAAAGAGAATTTCAAGCCAAGACTGATTAAGAGAGACCAAGAAGTTTACTGCATCCTTGTAAATTGAACAACCTAAGACAAAACAATAACAATTATAAATATTTATGTGTGACAAATACCAGTGCTCCAACTATATAAAACACATATTAATAGATAAGAAAAATCAAATAAATACTAATACAATTGCATCAGGGATCTCAATACCCCACTGTCACAAAAGAATAGATTACCTAGACAAAATATCAACAATGAAATATCAGAACTTAACCAAACTTTTGAATGAATGGACCTAGTGGATACCTACAGAATGTTCCACCCAACATCAGAATACATCTTCTCAACTGCATACAGGAAGTTTTTCAAAACAGACCACATACTAGCTCATAGGCTATGCTTAAGTAAACACAAAAGAATTGAAATTATCTCATGCATATTATCATATCATAGGGCAATGAAATTGGAAATCAGTGGTAAAAGAAACCACTTCATAAATACACAGAAATTAGATAGCACCCTCCTGAACAGCCAATGGGTCACAGATGAAATTAAAGAAGAAATTAGACAGTTTCTACAATTAAATGATAATGACATATGAGACACACTGAAAGCAGTCCTATGAGGGACTGCAGAGAGAGAGAGAGGAAGAGAGAGAGAGAGATCAGGAAAACATAGCAAGTGCAAATGAACAACTTAATGGAGAATCTCAAACTCTAGCAAAAGAAGAGTAGACTAACCCAAAAGCTCATATAAGGCATTTATAAATATCAAAGCAGAAATTAAAGCATTGTAGACTAAGAAAGCAATAAAATGAATCAATGAATCAAAGAGTTGATCTTTTAAAAGATTAAATAAAATTGACAAACCCTTATCCAATCTAGTCAGACCAAAAAAAAAAAAAAAAAAAAGACTCAAATCTACACAATTAGGAATGAAAAGGGTGAAATTAAAATGGACCATAGAGAAATCCAGAAGATCATCTATACCTGTTTTGAAAACTTGTATTCTAATAAGATGGAAAGTGCAAAAGAAATGGACATATTCCTAGGTACATATTAATTACCAAAGCTTCATTAAAAAGATATAAAAATCATAAGCAAATAAATATCAATCAGTAAAACTGAAGATGCAATTTAAAATCTACCAATGAAAAAAAAACCCAAGCCCTGACAGATTTACTGCTGAATTTCAGAAGAAAATTAGAGAGAATGTAATACTAATACTTTTCAAACCCTTTATTGAAGTTAAAAGGTAACTTTTAACTTCCCAAATTCATTCTTGGAAACAAGTATTAATCTGACACCAAAGCAGAGAAAGACCTAACTTAGAAAAAGAACAAGAGAACTGTAGATCAATTTTTCCAATGAATATAGATGTAAAAATTCTCAATAACATACTGGCAACAGAATTCAGCAAATTATCAAGAAGATTATACAAAACAACCAAATGGGATTCATCCCAGGAATACAGAGGTTGTTCGATATACACAAATTCATAAATGCCACCACATGAACAGAGCCAAAGACAAAAATCACATGAACCCTCAGTAGATTTAGGAAAAGCTTTTGACAAAGTCCAATACTCATTCATGACAAAAAAAAAAAAAGAAAAAGAAAAACCTCTACAGAAAATCAGAACAGATGGCCTTTACCTCAACCTGATAAAATCTGTCTATGACAAACCAACAGCCAGCTTCGTACAAAGTGGACAAAACCTGGAAGCTTTCCCTCTAAAATCAGGAACAAGACAAGGATGTCCACAGTCTCCACTCTTATTCAACACAATCCTGGAAACTTTAGCCAGAGCAATTAGAAAAGAGAAAAAATAAAATGAATAATGTTTGGAAAGGAAGAAGTTAAATTATCATTATTTGTAGATGATATGATATTCTATATAGAAGACCCTAAAAACTCTACTAAAACACTACTAGGTTTAATAAGCAAATTCAGTAGTATAGCTAGATACAAAGTCAACAATCAAAAATCAATAGTCTTCCTGTACACAAATAGCAAACTCACTGAGAAAAAATTAGGGAAAAAACAATAGTGAAATACTTAGGAATCAATCTAATGAAGGAAGTAAAAGACCTCTACTTTGAAAACTATAATATTGTAGAAAAGGAGATTGAACAGAAAGTATCAGAAAGTGGAAAGATATCACTTGCTCTTGGGTAGGAAGAACCAATATAGTGAAAATGGTCAGACTTTGAAAACTATTATACAAATTTAGTGCAATTCTCACCAAAATTTCAACAGCATAGCTCACAGAACTGGAGAAAATGATCTTAAAATTCATTTGGAACAGAAGAGACCTAAAATAGTGAAGCCAATTCTGAACAACTAAGGTAAGGCAGGGTATATCACAATCCCTGGCTTGATATTATATATAAAGGTGCTGTGATTTTTTTTTTTTTAAAAAAAGCATGTTACTGGCAAAAAGCAAAACTGAAGATCAATGGAACAGATTAGAAGATGCACCAACAACTCCAGGCATTCTCATCCACCTTATCTTTGACAAAGGTGCCAAACACTTTCACTGGAAGAAAGATTAAAAACTAATTTAATAAGAGGTGTGGGAAAAACTGGCTTTGCACATGCCGAAGATTAAAATTGATCAGAGGCAAGCACATAAACCTGAGTGGCCAGCTAATGATTATGTATTTTGAGCACAATGTGTATTATATAATTATGTAATTCTAATATTTTATAGCACCATGATTATATAATATTAATTGCTGCCATCTATAAAGTCCTATCATGTGTCAAGGCATTCTTTTTCTGCAGGCCTGTTTGGGCTTTGGCATCAGTTTTGTTGGTACTCTTTCTCCATCATGCTGTAGCCTGGGTTGGCTGTGCCTTTGAGAGATGCCTGCATTTCTCCCTACAGTAATACTTATTCCATTTTCTTGGAATTTCCTGTGTAACTGCTCATTCCTCCCAAAAGAATGCACTTCATTAAAAGAGGGTATTAATTATTGTATTGCTGTTGATATTACTAGCACCTAGATTTATGCCAGGCATATAGTAAGTACTCAATAAATGTTAATTGATCAAAGAATTAGTGCTCGGCATTTTATATTGTTTTTAATTTTTTATTAATATATTTCAACTATATATTGAATAAATTTATGGTGGGAAATCGGTAAATAAATAAAATGAATCCTGATAGCTTTTACTTCCCCTGACATCCTCGCTGTCTCCCCACTCCCCCACACTTTATATTAATTATATTATTGGAAAATACTAGCATATGTACAAAGTCTGAAGCTTCCTAAGTCAGTTGACTCACACTTCCTTTCTTGAGTCTAGCTATAAAAAGAAGCAAGAAAGCCTAAGTGTCTAGGAGGGTACTGTACTTGTCTGCAGACCAGACCCCAGAAAAAGATGACTCATCACCAGCTGTGGATCTTGCTCCTATGCCTACAAACCTGTGAGTTCTGACCCCTGCTGAGCCCCTCGCTTCCCATAAAATTTTAGAAATGACCATTAAGGAAACCTTGAAATGTCCCTTTGATCTCTTTTCAACCGAACACCCTGGGTCTCAGTACTGTCCTACTCAAAATGGAACCAACTGTTGGGGGAGGGACTTAGGATCCAAATCTAAGAGTGTCTAAACTTCGAGGTTAATATTTCTGAATTCTGTCTCTCCTGTCTCCAAAGATCTAAGGAAAATCTCTCTTCTCAGAAGAGCCAGCACTTTGTTAGACTCACCTACAAAGCCCAGCAAAGAGCCAGATCATCCACAACCTTGAATGAACTAAATGCAATTTCTTTCTGATGCTAAAATATATTACGTGATTTTTAAGACAGACCTCCCTAATAACATGCCCCTGCTTTCTTGGATTAGAATACTGCATAACTCCTCATGGCCCCTGTGAAAGCCCCCCCCACATAAGCTCTTTTCATTTCAAAGCATACTCAGAGTTATTGCTATGCATCTCAGTCCCGCCCCCGCAAATTAAAATAAATGGTGGGACGATGATTAGCTCCTTTTGATAAATAAGTCTCAAAAAAGAAATGGCTAGTGCTCACTTCGGCAGCACATATACTAAAATTGGAACGATACAGAGAAGATTAGCATGGCCCCTGCGCAAGGATGACATGCAAAAAAGAAATGGCTAACCTAAATTAAAAACCCTGCTCTTCTTACTTATGGCTTAGTAGTAAATTACAAAAGAAAATTAACTTTAGCTGCTAATAGAGCAATGAAAACTAGAACACTAACATGGGCCTCAGAGTACCTTGTCATTCCACACATCATCATTGTAAATTCAAAGCTCTCTTGTTTACACAGAATATGCTCTTTAGAATTTTAAAATCTAGTTGCAATACCTCCTACCTGCTCTGAGTATGCACAAATGCCTAGCATTGTTGGCCTGAGTAACCTGTGTTACTAGGGAACATCGGTAACCTAGTGGATTAGGACTTTCTGAAAAGGTAGACTATGGTTGTATTGACCAGGTAAGGCTTTATCCCTTTTTAATATGAGCTTCATGGAAAATGCAACATTAAGCAAGCCAAGCTTTTGCAGTCACTGCTGGTCACCTTGGCATAGAAACAGTAAGTGGGGGAAAACAGTTCACTCTAGGGACCTTTCTAATCTTCCAGAGAAGGGACAGACCGTGGGCCATTTAATGCCACTTAATTTACAAAGCATTCTATAATGTGTATGCCTACTTTTATGTTATCAATGCTAAAATCATTGAAATCAGTGAAATGGTTATTAATAATTCCAATATGTGAGAGGAAGGGAAGGGGAAGGAGATTGATTCAAAGTTATACCAGTTAACTTGAAGTTCCACTATTGGGAACAGAGCTGGAAATGGACATTAATTCTTCTAACATCAAAGCCATAGAGGTCTTTATGCTCCATCTCCTTCTCAATAACTGGTTTTTTTTTTTTTTTAATGCCATCTTTCACTCTATTTTCACTGTGTCCCCAGCAGGATCCAAAAATGGGGTCAGGGTGGTGTGTTGGCACTGAATGATACCTTTCTATAGTGCGGTTTTGTTTTGAAATGACATCTGAGTTATCAAAACACTGCCTCATATCTAGGAGTTTTGTGTTCATTTCCTGCCACGACCTCCCCAGTGTCAAATATTTGCTTTTTTTTTTTTTTTTTTTTTTTTTTTTTTTTTTTTTGGGGAAGGGTCTACATGGTGTCCAGGGTCTCACTACTAGATCAGACTAGTGATGCGCCTGCTTACAGCCTCCCAAGAGCTGGGATTACAGGTGCACCACCATGCCCACTGTCAATTGCTGTGTCAGCATGCCCCTGGGGCAGGGCTGGCACCACAGGCCTGGGGATCGAATCCCTGCCCCTGAGCCTGCTTGCAGGTGTTTTAATCCATTGAGCTATTTGGCCGGCCCTAAATATTTACTTTTTGTCTCTCCTGTGGTGGCTAAAACGCAGAACAGTATTGGACATCAGTGATGGTTTTCAACTTCTTTCTGTTCTTCAAAGGGCTAAATCTTCTAACATAACAGGTAGCTGTAGGGTGTGCTTTTTCCATCTACTGAAACTGAAGTTGAAGTTTGCAGCTAATAGTGAATCAGGCACCTACTAGCTTTGCAATCTTAGGGTAGTTACTTAATCTTTGTTTCTTTCACTTTAAAATGGGGAACTATTGATACAATAGGTTTATTTTCACAATCAAAATGACAATTTGCATGCAGCAGTTAGCCTACTACCTGAACATACACGTAGTCAAGTATTAGCTAAATCTATGATTGCTTTACAAATTTTTTTTCATGCATTATTAAGCATTATTTCCATGCCTTAATCCTCTTTTTGGGATAGTCCAAGAAAGATGAATTCAATGATTTTTGCTTCCCAAAATCATTGATATAAGGGAAGTCTGAGTGTGTGAGTGCGTGACTGCTCCGCGTTGGAAATTTTTTTTCCCAAGAATCAAGACTCACCATCATATGCTCTGATCTTGGCTTTCTCATCATAACTTTGGACGCTTGACTCTGACTGTATCCTACCAGCCACTCCCTCATGTGGCTGGAAGATCACAGAGCTTGCCACTCGGCTCCTTAAGCAATCCCTCTACATGTTGTCTCATGTTATTTTAATTCTCTTTTTCTCCTACCATTTCTAGCATCTATATGACTCCTCATTTTGCTCCTTCTATTGTCCATCAATAACAGTAATATCCAACTCTGTGTAGAGCAGTCACTCTATGTCTACATGACCCTGAGCAGTCCACAGTTATTATTTTGTAGAATCCTCATAATACCCCAATGAGATGGATCATATTAATATATCCATTCACAAATGCACACCTTGATACACAGAAAATCAGAAGTCATTTAGCCAAGAAGTAGAGGAAGTAGGATTTAAACACTATTGTCCTTGGATTCAATCACCAAGTCGTGCTGCCTCCACTCACCTTGATGCTGAAGTGGAATAAAATATTAACTATAAATGATTAACATATTAGAAATTTGTCAGGAGGCCAGTGAGATAGCTCAGTGGACTAAACACCTGCTTTGGCAAGTGCAGGGACAAGGGTTTGATCCCCAGTCCTGCATTCCATGCTGGCCCCATCCCCTGGGCACCTGAGCCATTGACGGAAACCAGGCTTGGTGGCACACCCCTGTAATCCCTGAGCTGGGCAGACTGAAAACAGGAGGATCACTATGAGTCTGAGCTGTGTAGCGAGATCCTGTACCAAATACATAAAATGAAAAAAACAAAATAAAATAAAAAGAAAGAAAATTGTCAGGGAAAAATGATGGTTTATTTATTTCTAACAAGATAGAATTATTCAGGTAGAAGCTGCACTTGTGTTTACTCCCACCATAGAGGGATCTGGAGTTGGTGGGCAGACCCTTGCCAATAATAGACAGATAATCAAGCCATTAAGGTCAGATATCTAAGGAAGTAGCCATGTCTCTGAATGCTATTCAAGGACATTTCATTCCTGTATGATTTTGCTTGACTTGAATTAGCTGCTGTAAAACAAGCAAGCATCCAATATCAACATTGTCTTGATGTCCCATTGGGTACATTCTAGCAGAACTTAAATCCAAAGAAGGGAAGGGACACACTTGGACATCTGTGTAGGCATGACTGAACCCCACTGTCACTCTAGAGGTCTGAGGCAGGATGCAGGTCTGTAGAAGGGTGCTGGTGAGAGGGAGACATCTGCCCCTGGTCTGATGTCCTTGCAGAGCCTTCTTCAAAGTGAATACAAGACCTCAGTTCAAGGAGGAGACTTGAGCAATGACCACTGCTGACACTCAGAAAGGGCTCAGAAGCAGAAAGTCAGTTACAGAAATGGAAATATATCATGTATGGGGAAATTTAGGTATCACGCATCAGCTGAAAACTTAGATGTCACGCATCAGGTGATGCACTGTGTCATCACCAGTTTCCAAGTAAAAACTGAGATCTGCATTTTGGTGATGACATAAGACCCTAGTAGGACAAAAATGGACCCCTGGAGATCTAGCTGGTCACCAACAATGCAAAAGAAGAGTCTTCTGACAAGAGCTGCAAGGACCATGCCACACTACAGAGGCTACTCGAACACTTCTGGATCAAACTAACTTGGACCTTGGAAAGGGCCAGCCAAATAGTTCAGCAGATTAAAGCACTTGCAAGCAGGTGCAGGGGCCAAGGTTTCAATCCTTGGTCATGCCATTACGGCCCCATGGCTGGGCTACGCTGAGATGGCAAATGAGAGTGGGCATGGTAGTGCACACCTGTAATCCCAGCTCTTGGGAGGCTGTAAACAGGCAGATCACTACGAGTATGGCAGATCACTACGAGTCTGATCTAGTAGTGAGACGCTGAACACCCTCTTAGACCCTTCCTTAAGAAATACAACAACAACAAAAAACTAACTTGGACCTTGGAGAGAACTGAATTTGAAAGCTTACAGCCAACTAGATTCACCAATATAGAACCAGGAACAAATGAGCATTCAGCCGGCCAGCCTGAGGTGGAACTCTTTAGGTACCCACACTGTCTTTTTTATCTCAATGATCAAATGTCCACTAATACAGAGTAACAATGGCTAGTCATACCCCGTTTCTGTCTCAATATTTTGTGTGTATTTCTGTTTATTTTGAAGAAACTGACTCAGATAAACCTGACTCTCAGGAAAAATGATGTAGAGTCTGTGGGGCATGAAACGTGGCACAGTGGTAGAGCTCCCGCTTAACATGTGTGAGGCCCTAAGTTCAACCCCCAGTACAGCCAAGACAAAGAAACACAATCACCACATCTCAGGACTCAAGATGATGTGATGTATATCTTTCAGAAGAAAATAGAATTCTATCTTATGGGAATGGCAGATTCCCTTAGACCATTGTAATCAAAGGCTGTCTGTCACAATAGAGAATGACCCAGTGGTTCTGCTCTCTGACTTTTGCTCGCTCTTTGTTCTCCGCATCTCCTCATAGGAGTTGCACAGTCA